AAAAGTCAGTGCAGAGGGAGAAACATCATTTTTTTAGTGAAGTTAGATAAAATTCATTTTATTTACAACGCACTTGATTTTAAAATGAAAAATTAATTAATTATTAAAAAAATACAAATGATTTTTGACAACCCAATTTAAAAAAAATTAAACTTGACTTGTAGTTTAAAACAAAAAAACTATATTAATTATTAAAATTTGAACACAATTTTTTTAATTGTTTAATAAATTTTTTAAAATTAACAGCATTTTTTAATTTTAAAAAAATAAAAATGTTGTTACAGAATTTGTGTTGACATACTCTGGTCGATATGAGGACATAAGAAGATTGCAATACCGGACCACTTTAATTGATTCCTAGTAGTTTAATTGCTCATTTTGCCTTATCAACGAGATTATTAGTTTTAATGAAATTATTGAAAAACTTAGCGTATAAGGTAGTTGCTTGTATAAAAATTTACTATAAAAAGAGTTCAAAATCAGCCACACATAACAAAAAAGAAAAACTGATTTTTCTAAAACAAAAAATGTTGACTAATTTTCTTCTTCTCACTGCACTTGTTGCAACAGCAACTCTAGGTAAATATTAAGTTTATGAACATTGTGTACAAATTTGCACTTAGTGTTGATTTGTATAAATTTTAACAAAAATATTTTTGTTTATAGTTGCTGTCAATGGTAGCAATACCACAGCCACAACGGCAACGCCGCCCAATATGACCATTTGCAAGTCTCACAAACCAGGTGATTTTATTCCTGACCCTACTGACAAACACTACTACTACGAATGCGGCCAAAGAGGTACTGCCTACCGCTTTAAGTGCTCCTCCAATTTGATCTTTAACAAGGAAAAGAACGTTTGCGATTTTGACCCAAACGTCGACAAACCTAAACCTACCGCCGACCCGTCCAACCACTCAAAAACGTTTAGTTGTGAGGGCAAAAAAGACGGTTTCTACCCCGATGAACATGATCGCCACAAGTTTCACGAATGTTCCGGCGGCTACGCTACTGACTTTCAGTGCCCACCAACTACTGTTTTCATTCCCGGCAAAAACGTTTGTGATCATGAAAACGCTTTTTAAAAAGTAATTTCAAATGATTTACTGCTTATTCAACTACACACGTGTGCATTAAACAATCTTTATTATTTTCAATAAAATTGCAATTTTAAAAACATTTTAATTTTAATCATTTTTTATCATCGAATTTAGTAATTTCAGCCTGAAATCATTCTTCTACATTGCATGGTCGCATGCACAGTATCCAGGGCCTTCATTGGGCTGAACTCGCAGGCCGAGCACTTGCATTCGACAGTGTTGGTGGTTAAAACGAGGCCGTGCCTGGTTGACACTGTTGACGTGTTGTGGGCTCCAAAGACGTTCCGCTACGGCGCTAGCGCGTGGCCTAAAGTACAAATAACAAAAAAATGTAAACAGGTACCAAAGGAAAATGTGGCGAAGAAAGAAGGTACCATGTTCGACTGATGAGATTGCTGGCGTCGACCCACTCTCCCCACATGCACGCCTCTCCGCCCATGACCAGCTGCTTGTGCGCCGCCGCCGAGGCGTTGAAGTGCAGCGGATCCGCCTGGTACAGCCGGTTCCAGTCAGTGCCGTAAGCGATGTGGTTGAGGTACCAGGGGCTGGAGAGGAGCACCTTGAAGCCCCGAGCCGTCACCCGCTCCATCTCGCCCATCCACTGGCCCTCGTGGCCCTTCCACACCTGCACCACCGTGTCCGCCTGCAGCTGGACGCCATCGTCGAAAACCTCCTGCCAGACGATGTAGCTCCTCTTCAGGCGTTCCACTATTTGCACCAGCTTTTGAATGTAGTACGACTCGAGTCGCCTGTAGTCTGTGCCCAGGGCGTGCTCCCGCATGAAGGCCTGCACCTGGGGATTGGAGGCCCAGCACTGAAAGTTGACCTCGTCGCCGCCCAGGTGCGTGTACTGGTCGGGAAAGCGGCCGACAATCTCTTCGAAGAGCTTCTCCACAAACTCATAGGTGGCGTTCTTGGTGACGTCGAGCGGGCCGAAAGAGTTGGGCACCGCCTTGTGGTGGGCGTCAAAACACTGCGTCAGCAGACCGCTCACCCCCCTTCCCCAGGACCGGGTGTGTCCTGGTGTGTCGAACTCTGCAATGACTCGAATTCCTCTCAGGCGAGCGTACTCAATCACCGCAGCGACGTCCGCCTTGGTGTAGATGTGCGTCTCGGCGTTGTAGGCGCCGTGCTGGTGCAGCTGCGGAAAGGTCTCACTGACAAAAGGAAAGCTCTGGTCGTCGACCAGGTGCCAGTGAAGGGCGTTCAGCTTGTTCATTTCCATGGCGTCCAACGTCTGGTAGATAGAGCTAAGGGGCAGAAAGTGACGCGAGGAGTCGATCATCATTCCGCGGTGAGGGAATCGAGGCGCGTCGCTGATTTTCACCACCTGAATTTGAAACTGGTTCTGACCAACGTTGACGAGCAGTTGAGAAAATGTTTCCAATCCTAAAAAAATAGCAATTTAAAAAAAATTTATTAAATTAAATTTTGCAATGAAAAGTACCTTTTAAAATGCCCCAAACAGAATGAGAGCTAATTTTTGCATGCCCTTTTTCATCAACTTCTAACTCGTACGATTCATTCATATTTAAATGTGGATACTTGTCACAAGTTCCGGTAAATTTTAGTGTTAATTTTTTGAGTAAGCCAATGTGGTTTTTGTCATTTGTAAACGTTGTTTGAGTTTTATGAAAAAAATGATTTTTAAAGTTTTTGTTAAGATGAGAGCAATCTTGAACAAAGAAACGGTTGTCTTTATACCGATTGATGCCATGTACAATAAGGTCACATTTTGACTCGCTAATAATTTGAAATTCAGAAGGGATGACAATAAAGTAGTGATCTGTCATGTCTACATTTTCAGGATGAGGCCAAATGTTTTCATGTTTTTTGCCAACCTGAAAAACAAAAACTAAAATTTTATAAAAAAAATTTTAAACTTACAGCAAAAGAAAAAAACAAAAACAAAAAAAAAGTTATTTCAGTTTTCATTTTTAAAAAAATATTTATACTAAGTATAAAAGCATACAACAAACATTAAATATTATTTAAATTTAAATCACGTTATTTAACAAATTTTACAATTTAAAATGAATTATCTGTTTACAATCTTATACTTTTAAAATCTAAATCCTGATTGATAATGTGATTTACTATCAATTATACAAATATTTGGTTGATATAAACTAAATAGTTTTAATAGTTTTTACAACTTTATAAACTTTTTTATTGTTTTTGCAAATTAACTAATATTTATCTTTAAATTGCAAACAGTAATAAAAAGTTAAAATTTAATAAAAACTGATTAAACAATTAAAACACAAATTAAACTTAAATGTTCAATAAGCAGTGAAGCCAACATTTTACAAGTTAGATATTTCAACTTTTTTTACAATGTTACAATTTTTAAATAAAATTTGAGTTAAACATAACTATATAAAAATAAAAATAGAATATATTTTGTTTTTCATGTAATTTTTTACAAAAAATTGTGATTATTTATTTCACAAACAAAAAAAATTGTGTTTGGAAAAAAAATTAATGATTTTTCCAGTTACTCTAGGTAGTGAAATACTATACCAGATATAAACTTTAGTTTAAAGTATGTTATAAATACTTGGCAAATGTTGCACAATTTTTTAATTTGATTTTAAAACAATTAAAATAGTTTGAACATTTGTAACAAAATTTACAATTTTTAAACTCATTTTAAAACTTTTAATAAAATAAATATTGTTGCAATAGTTGAAAATTTTGTTGTTCTGTTAATTCACACTTTTTTGTGTTCGGCANAGAATATGCACCATTTGCCCAAAATTGAGATAAAAAGGAGTTGGAAGAGGAATTTTCAACTGGTTGTGCCATTCAAGTCGTTTTTCAACTAATGACTGAAAACGAGCTGACATATTGCTAAGAACAAAGTCAACTGTAAGATTTTTGCGGCAAGATTTGATTTGGGTAGAATTGAAAAACTAGTGAAAAGTAAATACAAAGCTTTATAAAAGTATACCAAGTTAAAAAATTTAAAACTTACCAAATATCTTAAATAATTGTTAATGTATTCTTCATCCATTTGTGAATTGACTGTCATCTCGGTAAAAGTTGTGCCAAGAACCTTTGCACATGTTCGAGTTGTTCTGAGCTCAAGACACTCTCGCGATAGTTTTGCCGATAAGCAGATGTAATCT